GTAAGTAATCCTACAATTTTTTGTTTATAGCGTAGTTTATACGGATTATTTCCAAAAAATATATACGTATTTTGGAAATGTTGAGTCGGATTAGTCTAGAATCGATTAATTTTATGGAAGAAAACCTTTCAATCAGCCGTAGTCCGTAAACTTTACACATGTCGGGCTGTGATTGGAACGACTTGTAAGAAATCGGATTCCTAAAAAATGGAACGTATCTATGATCTTATAGGGGGGGTTGACTGTATTTTACAAATAATCTCTTACCTGTTTATGATTGCAGAATGATTGGAAGGATTATTTTTTAATTGAATTGTCAAATAATCTAAAAATGTTCCCCAAATTTCCAAACAGGAGAAGAAACCAGTATGTGTGGGCTGTTTGTTAAGTCAAAATTAATAATTGAATTAGTGAAAAATTAATATAAGTAATAATTTAATCATAATATCATAAATGCAATACCTGAAGAAATGTGTATTTGAAGAGTAATGACAGAAATTCTATAACAGAAAATTGAGCATTGCTTTCAAACCTCTGAAGGTGAATGTTAACAAATAATCTCAGAAAATCCGTAAATTTTTCAATGTAACTGAAAATTTTAAGATAATTTTACATAACATTTTTCAATTGATTTAACTTATCTATAAAAAGTTACTGCACATTAATAACACAATTTTCAAACATGAAAATAATCTCATGACATTGTATATCTCATGAATATTCAAGTTATAATATTCAAAATAACTTGTTAAAGTTATTCTAGGGAATAATAATTAGATATTATAATTTTAAAACTAAAAATAAATATACTATTTAAGTATGTAGTTAGATTTTCAATTTATATTATATCAGAGACTTTTTTTTATTGTTTAAATTGTAAAATATCTTAAACCCTAATTCAAAACTTTTTATTTGGAAAAATAAAATTTAAAATGAATAAGCTTTATATTTTACATTTAAATATATTAGGTGATGATTCTTAAATCAATTTCTGATTAGCAAATAGATACAATTTGATTTATATTTAAAACATTCTAACTTCACAAATTTAGCATTGTAAAGACAAACACTTAGTTTTCTTAAAATGTCAAATGTTAAGATATTTCCATTTAATGTTAGTCTAATTGCTTGTTCTCTAATACAAAACTATTACAAAATCATAAAAATACATTTAATAATAATCAAAAATATAATAATTATATCTTTAAAAAAATTAAGTGAATTATTTAACTTTAATATATTACAATAAATGTAAATTTTAAAGGAATAATTTATAAGAGCAAATTAATTTGCCAAAATAGTGTGTCATTAATGTGTAGCAATTATAATAAAATTAACTGACTTTTCATCCAGTTCAAGTAAACGATTGTTGTTTGTACTGGAAGTAGTGTTTTCATCTTTCGTTAATTGTTGAAGTAAATAAAATGTATACTGAGACATCTGAAGTAGGAAATCATCAAAATTTGATGGAATGCAATTCCTTGACATAATTTCATTTATGCAACCCATTGCTAGCATTCCCAATTCACCTTTCTTTAGAGTAGATTGTATGTCTTTTCCTGTCATAGTCTAACAAATAATCATGACAATGTTAAAAAAAAAATAATGATTAATCAATATATTGATTGAGAAGAAAGATACCAAACCTGATTGTGTGAAAGAAGAGAATCACATCCAAAACTGGCAAATTGGAAAATGGTGGTCAGAAGAGATGAATTAATATGCATAGATAATGGAATCCAGCTGAAGAAATGAGACAAACAATTTAATCCCTGAACACAAAGTTGATAAGATTCAGTATCGAGAATGGGTATTGATTGAGATAAATTCTTATTTGACAATGATTTGAACATACTATGCAACAAACTACCTGCAGAATAAAAACAATAAGTAAATCACAAATTTATATTATTTATTATATGTATAATAAACCAAACTTTACCTGGATAAAGAGAAGTGTTGAATGGTGACAAATCTGAATCTTGACCATGAGTTGGTGATGGAGGTGGTGTTGCTGTTGCTAAACAATGATGTTTTTCTAGGACTAAGTCAAGAAGTCCTGAAATATGAAATACAATCTTGTATGTTACAAAATTACTTTAATAATAACAACAACTTTAAATTCAATAAAAACTCTTGCCTCCAACAACATTTAGTATATTTGGAACTTGTTCTGCCAATAAACGGTAAAGCTCTTCTTTTCTGGAAATGCTAATATCATCTCTAGGAAATGCAAATTCTTCTGATACTGTCTGTAGTAACATAAGTCCAAGAGATGCTGTTTCAGTTGATTGTACTAACTAAAATATTTTAAAATTTATTAAATATTATATTTTTAAAATTTAATTAAATAATTAAAAATAATGTTTTCTTATTACTTTATTTTAAAGCTCAATATCTAAATTTGAAACACATTAAGCAAAGAAAAACAGTAAACAAAAAACCTCCAAAGATTTCTTTGAATATAAAAAGCATTTTAAAAAATTGTAATTTATTTCATTTCTAATACATTTACCTGTAAAATATTACTGAAAAATTCTGGATAGAAATGTGGCCAATCTAAACGACCTATGTCAACATTTAACTTTCCTAATTTATTTCGAATGGAGAGTGGCACATTCTGATGGCAGGCAAGTAAATACTGGTAAGTGGCACTTCGGATTTCTCCTTTTTCTGTACCCAGCATACTTATCCATTGTTCCTTTATTATATTCTAAAAATAGAATTTTTTAAAATTCATAATTTACAAAGATTTTTAAAATTTTTAAAAATTGACATAAAGAAAAAGAATGAGTGCAAATGCTAATAGTGCTATTTTAATTATATTCCATTTGAAATAAACATTTAAATTTTCTTGCCTCTAATACATTAAGACAGAACATCATGACATATTCATTTTGTGTGTTGGACAAAAAGTATAAACAATGCCTCCAAACTCCTTGTTCATTATTAAAATCATTCAATGAAATCTCTAAAAATTGTTTTAAAAAAGTTAATTGTATTTATTATGTATATTTTGTAAGTATTTAAAAATAAAACAAAATATATTTTACCTATTTCTCTTTTTCTATCATTTGATGTATTCTCATCAAAAAATTCATTCATCAAAGTCTCCAAAGTCTTTAGTGATTCATTCAGAGCCTAGAAAATATTATTACAATTACGTTAAAAACAATGATTTAAATTTATATGTAAATTGTGATAATATGATTTTCTGTAATTTAATACATTCAATGCCAGTATAAAATTTTTTCTTTACCAAAATGCTAGAAAATTTTTTATTTTTCATTTAATCATAATATAAATGTTAAAAGTGTCAAAGAAATTTTTGCCATCACTTTTCTCACCCTGAAAAAATTGGGCATGATGTTCAGTTTGTACCAATAAAAAAATTAATATACAGAATACTAATACGCAGCCAATGAAATATATTCTTTAAGTTGTACAATGATAAAAATATGCTTTCTTATAAACAAGAGAGAAAATTTTCCTGAGTTAGTTTGTTTAGTTATGGCAATGCAACACTTGGGCAATCTGCCTAGGGGAGATCGCCTTCCAAGAGGTCTTTTTAAGGGAAACTGACCCCTATTTAGGCATTACAGACGTGGAGAAAACCCAGAAAACTCTATACGGCCAGCCCGTCCAAGTGAGGCACAAACCCATGACCAAACTCCCAGTGTTCAGGGAACAAAGACCACTTCACACTAATGGGCCGCCTGAGCAATAATATAATGAAACTGAGGACATATGAGCATCCTTGGCATATTGGTATGACACATGAACAACTGCTATAAATCATCATGCTATAATGTGGAAATAATAATTATAAATTTATTTGTAATTATAGAATATCTGGCAAATGCCTCAAGATTTCTGATACTCTCATATTCTTTTGACACAATTTTCAATTACGTTTTCACACAATTGCAGCTCAATTTCATCAATAAATTTTCAAATTTCTGCTTTCAATTCAGGACAATTGTTCTTATTTTAGTGGCATAAACTTCAGACTTTACATATCCCAGAGAAAAAAGTTGCACAGTGTCATATTGCACAACCTTAGTGGTCAATTGTGATTGTTGTTATGTTAGATGAGTCTTCAAAGAAACTTCTTGCCACAGCCTGTCATATGATTGCCCATATGACAGAAAATCTCTTTAGTTTGAAATTCAAGGTACAAAATAATTGGGATATTGAATTATTGAGTTTTGAATTATCCAAGATTTATATATTTTGTATAATACATGAAATGCCATTTAAATGATGTAATTTATCAATATTAAGCAAATGGAATATGGCTATGTAAACATAAAGCTATTTTCATTAATTAATAATTTGTTAATATTTAAATAATAATGACTGTAATAATAATATAAATAAATTGTAGGTAAATACCACATGTCCAGTGAGACATCACAGGTTGCCAGCTAGATTTTATAAAAAGTAAAGCAGAATTCCTTGAAATGTAGCCAAAACATAGTAAATCACCCAAATCTAGTAGCCTATAGCCCTACAAATATCTCAATCTACTACTTATAGCCAAATCTTGAAATCCTACAACCCAGCCATTTTCCTTGAAATAAGAAGAAAAAGGTTAATCCATGGGTAAGGAAGGCAACACCTAAAATTGTATTACTGTAAAAGCAAAACCATATTGAACAGATTAGAGTTGTTCTTGGTCTATAGTATGGAGGCATTTCAATCTAAACAGAGTTAACATAAGCATATCACAGTTTGGACAGAATTTTCACTTCTAATTCAAAGTAGCCATATTTCAAAGAAACCAAATTCCTTAACATGTAAATCTCTACATCCGTGGCCGGGACAAGTACAGTAGAGCATCAATTATCCAACCCCCAATTAACCGTCACATCGGTTAACAACCGTTCTAGTCAGCAAATTTCAATGTCCACTAGTGATGTGGCGCTACAATATTTGGCTATGTCTTGGCTAATTTAATATTATTTTTGTTAAATTTGTGTGTGTTTTAGCTGGCAACACTGGCTCGACCATGAAAGGGACGCCAGTATTTAAACGACACTTAATTTTCTAATTATGAGTGGTTGTTTGTTTTGTGAGCAATAAAATAATTTTAAAATAATTTTTAATGATACAATAGCGACGATTATTATTTTTAAAAAAATTTTTGTTAGCCTTAACATAAATGAAAATTCAACGCGAAGTAGGTTAATAGCGATATACTAATATACTAATTACATGGGATATAATAATATACTACACTAATAATGGATTTTTTCATACTTTTCGGTTATCCGACTTTTCAATTATCCGACCAACCCCAGTCCCCAATTAGGGCGGATAATCGAGGTTCTACTGTATT